CAAAATCTAATTAGCTAATACTTCATCTAGCTGTAGTTGAAGTATTGTTAATATTTGATTTTGAAGTCTCTTTTATTATCTATTGCAAAATATTCATTTTTTTTGCAAAAAATCTGTGAAAAAGTTGTTTGGTTAAAAGCATTTTCAAAACCAAAAGTTTCTTTAACTTACTTTAGGAATGGGATTGGCTTGAGCTGGCTCAGCTCAGCTCAAAAAACTGAGCTAAGCTGACTTAAGCCGGCTTAAGTAAGCTTAGCTCAAGCCGGCTCAAGTATAGTTGCTGGATCAATCCTAGCTACCTTAACAATATTGTCACAGCATATTCTTAATTTTAATTGGCTAATAACAATAATCAAAAAATTTGATCAGAATTACTGAAAATTTTACTAATGAAATCACAGTTGCCTATTAAGTAACAATTGTTTCTGTGAATCTATTTTTTGAAAGTTTTTATTTTTGGAATAAAAAAGTTTAAAAGTTAATTCTGATCAGAAATTAGTAACAATTATATAATGCAAACTAAAATTTTACAGATCAATGGCCAAAATTGAGGATCTGCTGTAACAATTTTATTGAGCAACTATAGTTGGTGGATATTATGCATTACAGCATTGTGTTATTGTGTCATTATGGCATTGCAACACAAAAGAATTATAGCAAAAAATATGACACATGCCATTGTCATATTAATTTATAAAATTAATTCTACCAACAACTATAAGCAAAACTAGCTGTTGAGGAAGTGGTGGTGATAGTGAAAGACTGGTTATTAGGGAGGCTAGTGTCTGAGAAGAGATTGTTGGGGAATTGGTTAGAGAAGTGATTATACAGAGGAGATGATTATTGAAGGATTGATTGTTGGAGAGTTGTATCGAAGTAAGTGTGTTGAAAAAAAAATTATCGGTGGAGGTGGTTTTTGAGGAAATAGCGTGAATCATAGCATAGTATGTGTATATATAATTCAGTTTGAGCCAGCTTGATCTGGCTTCATCAGCTCAGCTCAAAAGCCATAGCTAAGCCAGCTCACTACAAACCAATCTCAACTCTAATCTACTTTGTGAATTCTTTTTATATAAGAAATTTATTATTTTGCTTTTATAAACAAATTTTTTGTACTGATTATTATTAAGACTAATTTTTTTTGAGAACATAAAAGAGAAATATAGACAGCTGGATATAAAAGTTATGATTATTAACTATTTTTTTTAAATTCTTAATATTATTATTATAAATGCTATATATATATAATGAAATATTATTTTTATATTAAATTTCAAACTAGTATTTCAAAATTAACTTCATGATATTTCTTTATTGTTTTTCAAAATAAATATATTAGCTAATTCAATTTATTAAATATTTCTACTACTTGTATTTACTAATTTTGTATTATTTAATTTTTAATTAATCTATAGTATATTTTTATTTATTTTATTCAATTATTATAAAATGCACTTATGGTAGTTTTGCACCTATTATATTATGTTTTTTAAATTTTTCAAGTTTTTATAAATTTTGTATATAAAATTTTTAACACAAATTTTTTTCATATTAAAGTTAATCTTAAAGTTAGGATTAGAGTTTGGAAAGGATTTTAGAGGCATAGAACATTTTTACTTAGAACACTTCATAACAATTAATTAGCCAGTTTTGAGATAATGTGTATATAGGTGTAAAACACCATAGATGTGTTTTAATAAAATCTTATTTTATTTATTTATTTATTAAATATAATTTTTATTTATTCTTTTATTTTTTTATTTATTTTTTTATAGTATTTTTTATTTATTTATTTGTTCATTTATTATTTTCTTTAACCTTTGCATATTATTTTTTATATTTACAAACTGTTTTTAATATTTTGAAAAAAATTTTTTATTTTTTTTTTATTTTTATAACTAGCCTCTTTGGGACTACAGTTTTTATTCAAGTTTGTAGGTAAGGGGCTCGCTTATGGAACCCAGTACATTTACATGCAGACCCAGCTTGTATCACCAGTATATCCCTGCCACAATTACTTGTTGTAAGAAGTCCTGAATGTTTTTCTGATACCCTTAGAACTAATTTATCCTCGAGGCATTGTTAGCTAAAGCTTTCTATACCCACAATCTGGTTAACCTAGACTTCGGTAACTTACACCGAGTCCAAGGACAGGAACTTGCGAGTCAAAGCCGCTACCGTTATCTACTTCTGCCCTTGTAGAGTTCACTCAGACCTCAGTACACACTTTACAGACAATCACCGCTGTTTTTGGTCACCAATTGTGCCCCAAACTCCCAATCCAGATGGCCTGAGAGAGACCAGTGAGTGTCCCCTGGCATTTCAATTGAATTCTTTTTCCTCATATTACATGCGGCCTGGTTGGTATTGGTATTTGCCAAACACCCGGTCCTCATCCGGTTTGTCATTAGTGTCTGATTGCCAATGATGATCCTTTATGTAGTACCGTCAAAAATCTATGCTACCTCTTTATTCGGGACTTGCCAAGTGGGCTTCTGTATGCCCGATCCCCTGAATTTACATGGTGCATCACTCATTTCGTGCGACTCATATGTAACACTACTGTTCTGCAATTCTCCCAGTATGAGCTAGTACGACCAAGGTTACAGGTGCCGACCTATCAGATTACAAACAGTTTACTGGAATGCATTTCTTAAATTCGAATTTCATTACCAATGGGATTTGAACTCTTGATCTGCCACTTGGGGATGCGACAACTTACCAACTACACTAAGTCACCATACCCATTTTGAAAAAAATTTTTACTATAATACATAATATAAGTATATATGAAAATCTTATTTTATGTAACTTTATTTCTTTAAACATTACTAATACTATTTCTAATACTGTATATTGCCAAAAATAAGCTACCTTTTTTTTAGAAAAATTATATAAAAATATTATAGGTAGCTTATTATCAGATAAAAGCAGTGTTGGCCTATGACCTAAGTCATAACATATTTTCCATATGACCTCGGTCATATAACTATATGACCTAGGTCATAACATTATGACCGAAGGTCATATAACTCATATGACCAGGTCATATGACTAAAAATTATAGGTCATAAATTTTAACCAATTAAAATTATATGCATGTGTAACATCAATTAAGGAAGTTGATTTATTGTTCATCGCTACGTACGTACCAGTGATGCTATGCCTGACGAAATGACGAAACCTGATGAAACCATAAATTTCGTCAATGACAAAACTTGCCAAAACTTATGGTTTCATCAGGTTTCATCATTTCGTCAGGCATCACTAGTACATACATACGTACATATGTACATACATACATATGTACGTACGTAATATATAATTTTGTCTTGCGGCATTACTTATTGAGTGAAATAGCTTTGAGCAGAATTAGTTCTGGTTGGTATGCATAACGTAAATTTAGATTTACATTTTTGAAATGTATTATCAATACTTGCACTTACCATAAAATTCGAGATAGCAAGTTATTACAAAGTAGCCTATGTACACTATTGTTAAATAAAGTATTAATTTCAAATTGTTTTAAAGCTCGATTATAAAATTAGCTAATCTGAGGTTATTTCTAGTGCCAAATAGCCATTTATTTCGAAACCAAGTAGCTATTTTTGGAAGATTCGATTATGAAATGATGCCTGTGCCTGTTATTTCGAGTTTTGTGACTCAGTAGTCATTGAAGGTAAACAAAGTATAAATCCTGAAACAATAATACCAGAAGTTAGGAAGAATAAAATAATAAATAAAAGGAAGGATTTTCTATTGCGAAGTAGAGAAAAAATCCATGATACAATACAAAAATGCTGCACACATTGTTACTACGATTGGTCACGTACATGTTATTATGCTTTAGTTTTTCACAAGACGGTTTAACGTTAGAAGTTACCTGTATTATCAGTTTACAGCTTTGATCCTTTTTTTGGGGTAAAATCTTCACGTTCATGCTTGGTTTTTAGTAAGCAGTTTCTTATCATCTTTTATATATATATATAAAAGCGATTAAACATTGATATAATTCACTCTTTTACAATAGCTTGTTAATAAAAATTATAGAGCTTTGAGCTCAACTTCTCTGTACTTAACCACCACTTACTATGTATAACGAAAATTACATTTAAAAAAAATCATTTTTATATCTTTTCTCATATAATAATCTGCATAATTGAATCTTGGTGTTTTTTTTTCAAGAAAAATTTGTTATTATGCCTCTTTCGCATAATTTTAGAAACCATTTTACTCTAGTAAAAAATCTAAACAATTCTACAAATGCCCTCGCGATATGTAAATACCCTCGCGATATGTAAATGGTGTATTAGAAAATATGGTAGATTAGGAGCAACTCAACTAAAACCAGAATGTTGCACAGTTAACAGAGCACATTTGTGTCGTAATCATCTATCAAAATGCGAAGCATTTCGTGAAGCTAATAGTGAAGAAGAAGTACAAAGAGTTCTAGCTTTACCAA